GCCAGAGGGAACCGCCCGGCGGATACTGACTCCGCGTTATCCGATAACGCGCCGCGATGAAGGTATACCACGCCTCCGCGAGCCCCGTAATTGTCTCCTCTCCCTGCGCGAATTTCCCGCGACGTTATCTTCGCGCCCTATAATTCTCCTCTCGACGCAATTCCCCTCATCATGTGACGTCATCCCCTTCCCCCTGTGACACCATCCCCTCACCATGTGACGTCACTCCCTCCTGCCCCTGTGATGTCATCCCCTCACCCTGTGACGTCACCCCTCCCTCCCCTGTGACGTCACTATTTATGACGTCATCGTCCTCCCGCCCCTGTAACGTCATCCCCTCACCCTGTGACGTCACCCCTCCCTCCCCTGTGACGTCACTATTTATGACGTCATCGTCCTCCCGCCCCTGTAACGTCATCCCCTCACCCTGTGACGTCACCCCTCCCCACTGTGAAGTTACTATTTATGACGTCATCCTCCTCCTCCTGTGACGTCACCATTTATGACGTTATCCCCTCCCCGTGTGACGTCATCCCCTCTCCAATGGTACCCCCGCCCCTCACCCCCCTTGCCGCCATTTGGATTAGAATCGGTGTAGCCTACCTAATCACCTTGTTTCCATTTCGTCCGTGCGCAATTGGGTCCGTGCGCAATCGAGTCGGTGTGTAAACGGATCCATGGGCAATCGGGTTGTGCGCAATCAGGTCTGTTGCAAACGGGTCCATGCGCAATCGGGTTCGTGTGTAATCAGGTCGTGCGCAATCGGATCCGTGCGCAATCGAATCGGTGTACAAACGGATCCGTGGGCAATCGGGTCGTGCGCAATCGAGTCTGTGTGCAAACGAGACCGTGCGCAATCTGGTCCGTGTCCGATCGGGTCTGTGCGCAATCGGGTCGGTGCGCAATCGGGTCCGTGCGCAATCAGGTCCGTGCGCAATCGGGTTCGCATCCGATCGGGTCCGTGTCCGATGTGTCAAGATTCTTTCTTGAAATGTCAATGTTTCGTGAACCTTGCAGTCCATTTCATCAGGGCGAGGAGCAGTCTGATACTTGAGCTATTTCGTTCCTTTTATATTGCATTCCTTGTTAAAGTGGTGGAATGGGTGGGGGGTGGAATTGTTGGGGGGGGGGACGGTCTTCAATAATCGGGAGAATGGTCTTCCATATTTTATTTATATTGTAGCCATTATCTCTATTTAGATATTAGGGTGTTTTTGTATTTCTTTGGCTTCTCTATACTTTCTTGAAAAGTATGATGTAATGTTGGCTATTGTGGTCGTTTTGTTAAACAGTATTTGATGTCCTGTTTCGATGTTGTGTTCTGATAATGCCGACTATGTGGCGTGTTTTAGCCTGACATCACGTTGATGTTCTTTGATCCGTAGGTTGACCATTTTCCCGGTTTCTCCAATGTATACTTGCCCACAGGAGCAAGATATTTTGTATACTCCTGCGAAGCTGAGCAGAGGTCTTTGATCTTTAGGATTTCATAAGATTTGTTGTATCTTCTTGGATGGTTTGAAGATAGAGTTTGGATATTGTGTTTGTTTAATATCCTGCCAATTCGATCTGTTCCTTTGATATATGAGAGAATGGATAGGATCCTTTCATCTGATTGTGTGTTAGAGACTGTTGTCTTGTTTGCATGTTTATTGATTATTTTGGTTATGTCTTTTTTGTCGTGTCCGTTTTTCTGTAAGGCTAGTTTCAGGTGGTTGAGTTCTGTCTGTAGATGTTCTTTGTCAGAGATGGTGAAAGCTCTATGTGAGTTGATTGCAGACTGTTTTGTGTTGGGTGGTGGTGCGACTCGGCATGTAGGTATCTATCCGTGTGTGTTGGTTTTCTGTACACTTGATGGCTTAAGGTGCCGTTAGCTTTCTTAGAGACAAGAATATCTAGGAAGGGGAGTTTTCCGGGTTCCCCTATGTCTATAGTGAAGTGGATATTTGGATGTTGTTTTTTGAGGAAAATAAAGAATTTACGGAGTTTGGCTCTGCCGTGTCTCCATATCACGAATGCGTTTACATAACGGAAGCAAACTTTTCGTTTTTTGGGTGTTTTTCTGAAAGCCTCTTTCTCAAAATACTCCACGAAGATATTGGCGACTACAGGAGAAATGGGAGGGTCCATCGCCGCTCCTGAAACTTGTTCATAAAATTTGTTGTTATAGGAGAAATAAGTGGTTGTTAAGCAATGCTCTATTAGCGGGATGAAGTCGGAAGTGACTTCATGTAAGGCCTTTATTATGCTTAATGTATCTTTTATTGGGACTTGTTTAAAAAGAGATTCTACGTTGAAACTTATTAAGCAGGTCTGTGGGACGTAGTCGGATTTTTTGAATCTTTTGTATGGAATCCGTTGAGTTGGTTATGTGTGATTCGGTTTTTCCAGTGATGGGTTGTAGTGTTTGTGCTAGGAAGTGGGTAAGTTGTATGTCGAGGAATGTATGGCGCTGATAATCGGTCTGAGGGAAATGTTTGGTTTGTATACTTTCGGTCGTCCGTATAGTCTTGGTGGGAGAGGATTTGTAGGTTTTAATGTTGATTTGCTTTCACTGGGAATGTTGCTTTTCTCTACTAGGATCTTGATGCTCTGTACGATTGTGTTAGTTGAATCTTTGTCAAGCTTTTTGTATGCTTTGTTCGAGAGAAGATTCTTCATCATTTTCTTATAGTCTGATGTGATCGTGACTACTGTCGTGTTGCCTTTGTCGGCTGGAAGCACGATGATGTCTTTGTCCCTGTTCAGGTCTTGGAGGGTCAATTACTCTTGTCTAGTGATGATTGGTGGAGGGCGTTTAGCTTTGGATAGGATATTGGTTTCCTGTCTGCGAGTATTATCTGCTTGTTCTGTTAGGAGTCGGTAGATGGCTGACTCTATTAGGCTGATAATCTCTTCCTTTGGAACCTTTTTATATGTCACTGCGAAGTTAGGACCTTTGACAAGCGCAGATGTAGTGTTTTGAGATAAGTCTTTGTAGGATAGGTTCTCGACGTTGAGTAGAGAGGGTTGTGAATTTTTGTGAGGGACAAGGTTTATGTATTACTGTTTCTGTCTTTCACAGGATTTGTGAGGGTCTTCGTGGCTTGTTCGTAGGCCTCATATGAAATCCGCTTTGAACTCATCCCGCTAATAAAGCACTGCTTAACAACCACTTATTTCTTCTATAACAACCAATTTTATGATCAAAGTTCAGGAGCGGCGATGAGCTCTTCCTAGATGTTCTTATCTCTAAGAAAGCTAGCGGTCATCTTAGGCCATCAAGTGTACAGAAAAGCAACACACGCATATAAATACCTACATGCCGAGTCGCACCACCACCTAGCACAAAAACAATCAGTAATCACTTGTATATAAAGCTATCACCATCCCTGATAAAGAACATTTACAGACAAAATTCAACCACCTAAAACTGGCCTTACAGAAAAACGGACACGACAAAAAAGACATAACCAAAGTAATCAATAAACATGCAAACGGTCTTTGACACACCACCAACCAGACGAAAGGATCCTATCCATTCTCCCATATGTCAAAGGAACGGGTGGCACCCAGTTGGACACGGCTCAATTGGACACGAGCCACTCACAGCGTTTGAGACTACAAAGCTCCTAAGCACCGGTCGCTTGATTGGTGGTGTCCAATCGAGCCGTGGTCAATCGGGATCACCCCAAAGGAACAATAGATCGGATTGGCTGGATATTAAACAAACACAATATCCGAACAATCTTCAAACCACCCAAAAAGTAGGACAAATTTTAAGAAATTCTAAAGATCAAAGACCTCCACTCAGCTCCGCAGGAGTATATTATACAAAATACCTTGTTCCTGCGAACAAGTATATACCATATTGGAAAAACCGGGAGAATGGTCAACCTACGGATCAAAGAACACCAACATGATGTCAGGCTAAAACACGCCACGCAATCGGCATGATCAGAACACAACATCGAAACAGGACATCAAATACTGTTTGACAAAACGACCACAATAGCCAACATTACATCATACTTTCCAAGAAGGTATAGAGAAGCCATAGAGATACAAAAACACCCTAACTATCTAAATAGATATAATGGCTACAATATAAATAAAATATAGAAGACCATTCTCCTGGTTATTGAAGACCGACCAATTCCATCACCTCTCTCCCTCTCCACAATCCCTCTCCCACCACCTACCCCACCACTCCAACAAGCGGCGTAATATAAAAGGAACGGCCTGGGGGAACAGCTCTATATCAGACTGCTCCTCGCCCTGATGAAGTGGGCCGAAAGTTCACGAAACGTTGACATTTCAAGAATGGATCTGGACGGAGGAAACCCGTGAAACGCATAACCTTTATAGAGAAAGCACCCGTGGAAGCCTCAAGAATATTAACACGTTTATTTATTAACGTTTTCAATTTTAATTTTTAACGATTATTCTTAGGCTCGTAGCCTTTTCTCTTTCTGTTTTTTTAAATTTATTGAGCCTTATTACTATTGTAGTTTAAAAAATTATACAAAATGTCAAAAGAATATTATAGTAAATCACGAATATTTTATCAAAAATGGAACGCAAAGTAATTAACTTATTAGTGAGATTATAAATACATAAATTCATAATAGCCTTGTTGTAGATATGTTAATTGGACTTCACATACGAAAAAAGTTATTCTATCGTTTCTTAGAAATTTATGAGAACATTATGAAAGACTGCAAATATTCGCCAAAATTGGCCGATCCGCCCATTCGAGTAAGAATATTTTATAATTTTATTATATTTAATTTTTTTCCCTTCTCTTTCTCTATTGTGTAGAACCAAACTGAATAAAATTACATTATTTTCAGTTTGAGAAACCCGTATATGGTACGACAGATCTCAATTATGCAGATTTCTTAGCTCCATCATATATGTTAATGTAAGCAAAAATCAATTCAACATAATAAACGAAATCAGTTACTGTTGCTAAACTATTTATCTTTACAGACTTATCTTCTCTTTAACCACTACAGTCTCTACCTCCGTGATAATTGCAGATCGATTAGAGGGTGTTTGGGATCGAAGTATAGTCCAAGGTATTTTACTAATTTAGTCACCAAAATTAGTTTTAGAATTACTTCTTTATCATTTCTTTTATCGTAATAATACGAATGTAAATTTGCGACAGGAGTCAGAACAGATGAAATTCTATTGTCTCACATTCTTATTCAGAGCATCATCATAATCATTCACACCACTATGATAATGCTTTTATACTTTTCTATATGGGGATTGGAATGTAAAGGGTCGATATTTGACGTAATAATCCTCACATTTCTTACGGGTTTTTGTGGATTGATGTACGGTAAGTACTCCATGATTATGTAGATATATCAAAAGAATTACACCTTAGAAACTGCTAAAAATTAAATTGATTATTCGTGTTAAAATGCATTCTTAGGTTTCGTAATTTCTATTATGTGGAAAAATTACACGATGGCGAATTACACCTCGACTGGAAGCTTTCTCGCACTAATATTACTTAGTGGTAAGTTCTTATTTCTTTGTTTCACAAAATTTACTTTTAATTTCAATCTAGTTCTGTTAAATGATACCGTTATTAACGTGATTATTTCAGAAATTATAAGATTATTTTTAAAATTACATTAATAAGTATAATACACTTGTCAACATAATTATTGCTACCTAAATTTATACCAAAATAATTTAAACTAAGCATAATTCCATACAAAATAGTATTAAACTTTTATTTTCATTCTCAAGGGTAAAGTTTGTATTTTAAGAAGCTTTCAATATAGTTTAAATGTATCTCTATGATCATCATATTTTTTCTAAAGTAAGAACGTGTTACGTCTTTAAAAAACTGCATAGTTTGACGTACTCTGTGAGGTGCGATAAATTTTTTTTCGCAAATATTATGATAATCGTAAAGTATGGACTTCTTACAAATTAAAAAAAAAATAAAGCTTTGTATGATTTTTTGTTTCGGCGCGGCGGCGTATCAAAATTACTTAGGGTAACTCCGACAAATACGCCGCGCTGGAATTTACGCCACAGAAGTCAGAAAAAATAGAAAGAGTAGGGGTAATTTTCCCGCAACTACTCTGTTACATGCCTTTATGTTATATTAGTATAGTGTTATGATTTCAGCTTCTTACTGTTAATATTAATAAAATTATTATAAGTTAAATGGATTTGTCACTGTAATAAGTAGCGCCATCATAAATTTATAATCTATATAAAATGATTACTGTAGAGCGTGTAAAAGACTTACAAGTAAATCTACGGAGGTGATTACAAGTAAACCTATTCACCGGTTTTAATGAAACTTTGCATATTTGTAGAACTTTAAAAAATATTTGACACTATTTTTTTTATCGGCTATCGGGTCCACTCAGAAAGGTGAAAACTACACCTTATAGAAAATGGATAGATTTAACATATTAGGTGAAATAAGTTGAAAATTTTAAAAAGTAAAATGTATTATAGGGAGTTTTTGGGGTCGCTGAAACTAAATCATATGTCAAAAGTATGAAATTTAAAATGGTCGACCCAATATGGCGTCCAGTTTCATTAAAATTTTTATTATTTTTTATCAAAATGAGTAAATTTTAAGAATTCTTGTTATCACAGAATTCAAATTTCCAATTTTTGGGTTAATAATTTTAAATATGGTGTTAAAGACATAAAATTCAAAACGGCGGTCTCAATATGGCAGCTATATACGTTAAAATTTATAATTTTTGCAAAAAATGTGTCGATACAAGGTTCTCACCTTTCGGCGTGCTTTTTTACGGACTTACCGTATAATATTATCTATTAAATACTAAATATAAAAAAGTATATTCGGGCCTATGACGGTCAAAGCTAGATTTTTTGCCTAAAATAATTCCCAGTGAATTATCTATATTATCTATATCCTATATATGTACTTGCATATATATCATATTTTTGTAGTTATTCAAACTGCGCGCCGAAATTTTTCCAGACTTTATCTAACGCAATTAAACTACTGCAATAATATCACAAGTTAAATTAAATTGACGATGTGCTGAAAACCTTAAATAAATTTCCACCTCAATATTCTTCCTTTTTTCAATTCGTTTGTTCCGTTTTTGGACCGGAAACAGTTAGATTACTAAAGTCATAGATTAAGTTTCCGTATTTGTTTAACTAAAAGTCTTTTACACGCTAGATTCTTAAGATACTGTATCGCAAACAATATTGTCCCACCTCACTTGAATCGGCTACATAGGTTTAGTTTGGAATTTTTTGGGAACAGTTTATTTAAAAAATTTGAATATATTAGACATCAATGTGTTGTGAATAATTTGAAGTTAGAATTAAATGATACTTATAGGAAAATGGATTCTACTCGGGTACAGCTTTTCCGATTTACACGTGCTATTTCCCGTTGCCTTCCTATTCATATTTGTGACGCCTTTTTTGATAAACAGAGATCTTCATACCTTTTTTTCTTGCGCGAAAGGAGTAGGATTGATTCGAAGTGTTGTTGGCTGCTGTCGAAACAGAGGGAAGAATTATTTAATAATATTAAAAATATCAGGCCTCTTCATTATTATCAGAAGACAGTGCCCGCAGTTGATATTGATCATGGCAGGGATGGAGTGTTAGAGAGTAGTGCTAGTGTTAGATTAACGTTGTACCCTAACGTGCAGAATCCAAAGGTTCAGACAGAGAAATACAGATAGATCCTAAGTCCTTTCTTCCACTGATTCCTTTTCCTTCATTTATCTCACAAAGGAATGGTTCGTGAATCTGTCAACCGTTTCCATACCTTCTAATATACAGAACTTTTTACAATTGGGAGAGAATTTTGCCTTACCTTTTAACAATAGATTAAATTTAACGGTCGATCTTATTAAGTGTATCGAAAGTAATATTTATAAATTGTCTATAGATGAGCGGATTTCGATCTCGAACCACTCACTTCCAGTATTAAATAACTTAGCTTCTTGTTCCTTACATTGCACGGAAGTAGATAGGAGTTTGTTACAGTTAGCGAAAGATACTAGGGTTTTTTTAAGGGATATGAACGATAGGGTGATTTTTACTCGCGCGGATAAGGGGAATGTGAC